ATCGATGTCCGCTGCTTGACTGACATGACACAAGAATTCAGACAGCCTACCATCTGTCGTCAATACTCCAGTCTCACACCAGCTTCTACCTCCACCTTTCTGACGACGCCGAGTCTACTGCATCTGGGCAAGTTACTGTTGGGATCGCGCTCAGTGCTAGAGTCGAGGCCGGTCTCCTGGACTGGATTTCAATCAAAAGTCACTTCTGTTATATGAAAATGCATGGCCTTCGCAAAGTTAGCAGATGTCGAGCCGACAAACGTGTTCTTTTTGTGATCACCGCCTACGGGCCCTCTAACGGCACTCGGATACGGTAACGGATGAAAACTTATATAATCTGCTCCTGTAGGCACATAAAAACATACAACATTGTTATGGCAGGAGACGAGAACTCACGTGGCGGTCGGTTGCTGTCATGTGAACGCCACTTTGGGGGACCGCATAGATATGATGATGTTCATTCTGAGCTTTCGTCACCATGGACGCCACTATGCCACTTGGCGTTCTCTATCATTCACCAAGCGCTAGTCCCAAATTGAACACATAGCCATAAGTCGCAGGTAGAGCGGCAGCATACGCAATTTCAGATCCCTTTGATTAACTTGCATTGAAGACGACCATGCAATGCTATGTGACAGTTTGTATGCATTTTTGTGGTTAACTTAGAGCCAAACAAACCAGACTGGACACCTACAAATTGGAGGACCAAAGAGGGAAAACGAAGTATCAACAGAGACTTCGTGAAAGTCCCGTTCTCAGCCCACTCTGAAAGTTAACGAACGCCGATCAGGTCTGTAACAAGCCATACTGTATGCCGGTTTGTCCACAGTTAAATCCCGACAAAATCCTTGGAACTGCCATATCGTCGACGGGCTGTGTCCTCCGGTTCAGAGCACAACGAACTCCGTCGGTTTGTCTCCCAACAGCTAAAACCAGGCCTTCAATAGTGGTGGTTGAAATGAGTTGCTGAGATAGCAGCCATTGCATCTGCTTGAAACTTCCACAGTGTATTTTGCCCCATCAACGTCAACGGTTTCAATTCACACACTATCAGGCAAATAAGCTGTGAGTTAGACAGCACGAAAACCATCAATCCACATAAGCCTTTGGGTCGCTGTGCAGAGCATTTTGCTCTTAAAATTAAATGTCCAGCACAGACCTCTGTGATACGACAATTTTCATCGAATAGTGCTTGGCACGTCTCCACAGATCCTGCTATCGAGCTAAAGATCCGCAGCGCAATCCAATCGCTGAAAAGTCATAAAACTCCCGGCCGTGAAATCATACTCCCGACTCTATTCAGAGATGGCGGGAATGTGCGTGTCAGCGAAATGCTATCACTGTTCACGAGAAGTTGGACTGACTAAAAGGTTCCAAAATTACGGGGAAAATAGATCATTGTCCCGGTTAACAAGTAAGGCTTCCCAGATGATTGTGCCTATTACTGTGGAATAGCGTGTATCTCTGTCGCGACCAAGATCTTCGTGTTCGTCCCAAATCGTAGACTTTCAGAGAACAAAGAGGGCATTTTTCGAGAAGAACAAGCCGGTTTCTGTCCAAGCCGAGGTTGCATCGACCAAAGCTCCGCAATGGGAATTTCTATAACTCTGTCATGCTCAACGACGGCCAAGAACCATAGTGTTCTTGCACATCTGAGCAGCACTTGTTACAGTAAATAGGTATGTTGGAAAATTATTTACTAAAGTAAGGTGTGCCCGAAAAGCTTGTAACTATCCTGAAGGAACCTCACAGTCACATGACCAGCAGTCAAAATTTACGGCAGATGCTCCTCTTCGTTTCTTGCCACCATCGGCGCTAGCAATAGTTGCCCTATTTCACCTCGCCCCTCCAATTTTGCCAGCGAAGAGGTCGTCCAACGAGCACTCGATGGTGTACATAACTGCGATATTGTAATTACCTCGGGAGACAGAAGTACGGACTTGAATGATGCCAATGATACCGCTTTGATTGGGAATGATCTACGAGCCGTCCAGAGCACTTTGAAACGCTTAGTGATGGAGATATCTTAATATGGCCTGTAGTTAACACCACGTAAATGTAAAACACCACTCCGGGATTGGCAAGTGGCAGCCGTCACCATTAATAGTAACGTTCTGGAACAAATCCCTTGCCTCACTTATCGAGGGAGCTGCAACACAGCTGGCGGCGATGTTGAGATGACGTCTAGAAACGGATCGAATCCATCAAACTGAGACACCTATAACGTCTTCTTGATGTCAGTCTCAAACTCAAGGGCAAGGTGTACAATGCCTCCGTCCGTGCGGTCCTACTGTAAGGTTGTGAAGCCAGGCTTATTCGCTCTGAAGACATAAAACGATTGCTAAGTTCTGACAACCGGTGTCTGCGAAGAACTGCTCGGGTGTGGTTAAAACATTATGTCAGCCAAAAAAATCCGAGACAGAGTGCATGGAGCGAACAGTCCCTGCTTCCAAAGCGTTACTTCCAGACAATGCATACCTTGGATTTGGCAAGTATTGCACACGTCAGCCTACCGACGTCCCCGTCGAGCGCAATTTGTGCTTCCCAGAAGTGACTGCCATAAGTATATCTATAATTATAAAAATAAATACACATATAGGCTGAGGGATTTGTGGCGTCGATATGACATCCATCTCCATCAAATGGCGGGTTTATGGCACGTTTGTCCGCACTGCACTGTTGTACGAACTGGGAACACGTTTCACTGCATCAACCGCGGCGGTGTAGTCGCTGATTACGCATGCGAACGTAGCGTTTTCCGCGGCGTGCATTGTATGCGGTTGTTGGACAGGATTTGAGGAGGCCGTGTGGTGGATAGCGTACAACTTAGAGAAGCGGATGTACATATCAGCGTGTTGATGTAATGCCCCTTCTTACCCCTAATATAAATGACTATAAAATGCTAAATACTGTGGTTGGAAAGTTGGACAACACACGAACGCGGAAAACGCTGAGCGGGCAAGCGTAATATGAGTCCAGACCGCCACAGTTGATGCAGTAAAATGAATTCCTTGAGTGAGTGACTGCTTCGACCAAAGACACGCTGCTTACGTGGTGTAGTCACGAATCACGGACAGTGAACCGCAAGCAGCGGTATCCGAAGACGGACACCTGGTGAAGGTTAACGGTAAGAAAAAGACAGATCTCACATCCCTACGACAGTACAGTGCGGGAAAAGGTAATAATTTGATGAAGATGGATGTCATGTCGACGCCACAAGTGTCTCAGTCTAAAAGTGAAAGAAGCACTAGAAGCGCATATCGAAATCTCGTCTCCATCGGCGATGCAAGTTTTCAACCAGACAAAACTCGATGATGGCACTCGCAGTTATAGAGGGAAGAGTAGTGGTGCAGGAATTTTCATGGTTTAAACGGACCGACGTTAAGTGAATATCATGAAGCCATGGCCTTTCAAGAGTAACCAAATGAGTGGAGGCACATCAGCAATGACTCCTACAATCCCAGGTCAAAAGGAAGGCAGTTTTCCTATCTAACAGGCTGCAGGCTGCGCGCAAAAAACATCTTAGCCGTTTCGCCTAATCCATACAGAACACGGATTGAATAAAATGATTATAAACTAAATCACATGAGGGGAGAGCAGATACAAATGATTAACCCGAAATACGGTACTGGTCAATGTTGCAGGATGTATAATCATAATACCGACATTAAATGGAATTTGACACGGAAAGTACCATAGTAAATAAGAAGGAGATACAAACACGTTCAAGAATGCAACTATGCATTTGACCGCGTTTCAAATTCAAAATGATGCAATTCGAGTCAGGTAGTTGGGAACAGTGATATGTGTAAACATGGAAGGCTAGTTATGAACCAATGCGGCAATACGGTCTTTCAGATATGATACACAACCCAGTTGTGATGAGGGATTTCATTGTCACAGTACAAAATGAGCATGATTATTCCTACCTTAGTAAATCGACAGGGTTGTTGCTTCCTATAGTAGTAGAACTTGGTCAACCGGGGATAAACGGCTTATTGATACAAACCAGACAGCAGAAAAGTACAGCAACACTCGCTCGATCTCGTGACTCATCGCATTTGATTAGTGCGTTTGGTTTAACCCCTCCCATCGTGGTGTATTAGCCTAAAAATGAATCACGGGAAACAAGTTCGTTCGTTAGATCCTATTTGTGGTGCTTTCATATATGTTTTCTGGTCAGTACAATTTACAGCGACACAGTTCCATCAACAGTGATGCTTACATACCGCAGCCATTCAAGCGGCAGAATTTGGCATGGCAAATAGCCCAGGCCATCCGGTTCGCATCAGATTAGCTGCCCCAGAAAATCTAGCACGTCTGCAAGCACTATCCGACACACACTACCCCCTTCACACCCATAGAAGTGTGAGGAAGTAAAGAATGCCAGCGACAATGTGCATATTCCTTCAATACTATGAATTAACGGATGAGACTGACTGGTGGAGATGATTCAGAGGCGTGAAATGCAATTAACCGATCACTGCGGGCAGTCTCGAAGCAGCCAAGCCTGTACACAGCTGCTGCAGGATGTGTGGTACGGAACCATCGGTACCAGTCTGACATCGATGTCTTACTATTTAGAATAATGTGGAAAAGCCAAGGGAGAAATACTTACCCAGGAGATAAGCAGAGTGGCCAAGCACGCAATAAATACGATCATCAGTATCGCAACGTAAGTAGGTCCGAGCAGCTTGCACCAAAGCGATTAAAATCCAATTACCTCCTACGGTTCAAATCTATCAAGAAATGGCTAGGAAACGCGAGGAAAATCGAGGATTCACACTCTATAGGTAAATATGGCATAAAGCTATGTCAGAATAAATATCCTTATTGCTATGATGTGCCGATTTCCTTCGTTCACATGCATTAGAGCGGGATCGTTTCGGTGACTACTCTTAAAATGGATGCGTCTAAACCAAGGACTGATCAGAATAGCATCAAGTAGAAAGTTCGACTAGTTCACTCTACAGGGTCGTGTAGTAAGTAAGTGGACTCACCAACGTAGCGATGAAAGATACTTTGGACAGTGGAGAAAAGATGCAAAAACTGCGGTGAGGCTGAAGGATGAACACGAAAGCAGATAGGAGCAAGACGGTTGGTGCCATGGATCGCAGGAAAAGGAAGAGCTCAGTGAGCACAACGTCCGGTACAAGGAGTCTGCGGAAGCGAAAAGAAGACAATGAGTACACATATGTATGTTGAATTGTGGCCGAAAAGTAAGGATGGGCGGAAGGGAAATAATTTTAATTAAATGGTTCTGCTGCGAGTGCAGCACATTGCAATTCGAAGCTGAAAAGTGGGCTAATGCGCAACCGTTCTGAGGAAATGAGCGAAACAGTGTGACTGGGATAGACATTGCCGCGCATCTCTGTTGTATCTGCATCCACCGGTCATTGGGTTATGAACAACCCCAAACGCCCTGGTGTGAAAATACATGCAATCCTAAGGGGTGCACCAAGACGGATGCTGTTGAGACAGGCATGAAGTGGGGACTGATACGAACACAGGAAATACCGTCCGTTAGACTTCTCGAAAACTGCGAGCAGCGAACTGAGACGTCAGTCTCCGGATGGACCAGCAAGCAAATCAGTGTTAACATGTCTCTATTTATAGGCTATAATATAGGAAAAATGAAGATAAAATCCCTCATAAAAACCACAATCAATGAGTATCAATTGGTTACAAAACATGCGTAAAAATACGCCACTTTACCACCTTACGCAGCCGATTGGTTAAAAACTGGTTTCGCGTTCTAGAGTAGGCAACCAGCAGTAAATGTTCCGTTATTCTCTCCCCAATACAATGAGATTTTGACGATTCCCGAACAATGAAAAAACGAGAAAATGTGTACCGGCTTCACACCGAAAAGATCAACGCAAACACGAAAGAGTAGACCGTAGCGTTTGGAAGCGTCTGGTTATCCCACTGGGTGAGTTATGTTATCTAGTTGTTGGAGCCAAGAAATCTGAGGACATTCCTTTGCCCAGCTAACAAAAATTAAAAGTAAAGTTTGGGAGGATGGTTGTGTTTTAGGCGATGATAGTCTCTACGCAAGGCCACCAAGTTTGATGTGAGACCTAACTGGATGGGCAGATCGCACCCATCCTCTGGTCCGAAACTAAGGTATTGAAATGGAAGTTCCGCCATAACTGCAGACATTGTCCCGCAGAGTGGTCATCGGAATCCGCCTACAATATATAGAGTGAAACCAATGTGATAGGCTCGTTTGCGATTGGATGCAAACACGATTGGGTCCGCTTTTCACTATCCAGAGTCACCCAAAAGGAAACATGAGCGTGCTATGTAGCGTCGCGACTCTACTGTTCTGGTGGTTCTTGGAAAGTACACTCTGTAAGACGGCTAGCTTAGTACTACTATGCCACACGTATCACTGCATTATATTCCGCCTTCTGAGTATCCTTCGAGATGTCCAAATCTGATGGATACGGTGTTCGGTGAGTGGAACATAAAGGTTTACTTGAAACGACATGAGCTCATGTGTAAACCATTCAAGGAAATGGAAATCACATCCAGGTGTGGTTGAGGCCAATAAACAAATTGAACAAAAGTTTACCAACTCCACAAGCCGGAGACACACAAAAACCCGAAGTATTCCATTTGCTGTATCCATGACGGTTTTAAATATTGAATAATACGTTGAGAACGGCAGTGAAAACTTACAAAGGTAAACGTCACCATCGAAACTCGTTCGCTTGAATCAACGACCGGCCAGATGAAGTTGCCTCTAAAATCAGACTTAAGATAGAGTGGACTAATACACCGTGTCTACAGTCTCTAACTAACCACCGGGTTGAGCGTGATACCGATGATGATATAACCTCCTGAAAGAAGCTGTTCGCAAATCAAAATTGATGGTGCATCAGATCAAGGTACATTGACTGCCGGCAAATGTCCGAGTGGTAATACCATGCATGGGTAAGAACGAGACGCCGTGCACATCGGTGGCTTGCAGTCAATTACAGAAGGGAGAACGTTGGCCTTTTAACATCTTATGAAACGCCTTTCTGTAATTCCTGTAGACCTGAACACAAGTTGGTGTTATTTGTTTGAACGATTGAGCAGCACTTACAATGATGTGTGGAATGGCCGCACTTCGAAACCGGAAACACCTGATGTCACGACGATTCCCAAATTCGGATTACGTGTGAACCTCAATTCCAACGAAATGCCGAGTTAAGTTCGTGGAACACCTCAGAATAGTTGGCAATGCACAGTCACAGAGCATTGCACTTTCAAAGCCGAGTCAACACCAAGCATGCAACGGGCATTCTAGCAACCAACCAGCTCCAGTAATGATTCGAGCATCCTAACATCTATCGATGGTGGCACATAAATCAATGCTATCATTGGCAAGGCTAAGTTAATCTTAAGGTGATATCCGCACCTTCGGTACAAATCATCAGCGTTAAATTCTATTTCAAGGATACCAGATAACGATGCTGTAGCAAGGTAACCAGAAGTAACTGAAAGATAGTGGGAGCCGAAGAGAAACCGGACGACAAGTACGTGTAGCGGAATAGTCTGCAGCCTGTGCCTAATGAGGGCACCTCCAGAGCATCTTTACACATTTCAATTTGGGGATACACGTCGCAAAGCTTGAAAAGTGTTTGTCACCATTCGGTAGTGAAAATAAGCCCACAGGAAGCGGTATTCAGCAGCGGCTGCATTCGGGCCGATGGAATGGTCTGTGCGGAGACGGATCCTGCCATTCAGCTGCAACGCAATCACAGTCGGATAAGCTCATCACCAAAATTTCCCCAGTTCTTGTGGCAATTGAATAGGAAAATGGCAGCTTTAAACCAAATATCGGTTTCGCATCCATTAACACAACAATAACCTGGCGGTTTTTCATGCACAGACCTAAGCTGTCCAAAACAACTGTGGGTACTATCACGCTGGAGTTCTTGACCAGTTCGCAGCAGTGTTGTGTAAATTGCAGCACCGTAAACTGAATGTAACATCATGCAGGGTTGTGTTTCAATCCGGTGGAGACTAAGGAGGTTCCCGTTGGAGCGAAGACAATGAAGGGGGATTCAAACATCTCCAATACGCAGGCAGCAACACGTGCAGTGGTTTGCTGTTTCGTCTCCGACCGGTTTCCGATAATATTTCAATGTCTGTGGTGACAGAGTTGATCAGTGCATCGGCCCCGCCCCGTAGGCAGCAAAAACAAGATCGGGCGAACTGAATCAAATCGGCTCGTGAAGTTGTGCTGCATGTTGTCTGTAGCATTCGCTACATCCACAGTTTAAAAAATCCGGTAAGATAAGGCGAAGTCAGTGGCATTCGTGTTTTGTCTGCTCTGTTTGGGACGATAACTCATCGCAATGTATCACTCATTGTTGCCAACTGGAAAAATCCGTCCTACTTGTTTCGGCTCCGAGTCGGAACGGAGCAAACGCTTTCCACCGATGGTAATGTAAGCGCAGAGTAGCTAATCGAATTCGGACCGGTACGGTATGAGTGATCTAGTCACTAGACATACATGCGAGCTGAGACTATAAACGAAACGCGTAAACTCGCACGACTGTACTCAGACCCTCAAAAGAAAGGCCGGCTATTAACAAGAACTCGTTTGATGGCTCAGCCAAAGCCAAATCATAAAGCTCTATAACCTAACAGCGTATTAAATAAACTATAGAGGAAGATGGGTTCCGGCAAGACACGTGAGTTACTACGTAGTGTTAGTGTCCTGAAGAAAAATCAGTTGAGGTCAGTGCTGCAGCTACTGCAGTGTCCGGAGGAGAGCTCAACTGCTATCCGCGCAGTTTGAGTCGCCGCGTGGTGACAATATGACTGAGGTGAGCTCAGGCGAATTCTGCGCAAGTTTCGTGGAGTTGTACGAGTTCCACAACTTTGTCCATGATAAGGAGTAATTTGATTACGTTCAGACTCAAGATAAGTAAATCCACTGTGCCTTGGCATTCTGTTCAACTGATTAGGTGGGATATTTTTTATCAAGTAAGAGACTGAGGGAAACTCGGCACAAAGTAGTAATCGACGTTTGCTTGAGAAATGTTAACTATGCAGTGCGAGTCAAGTTGCGATCCTGCACATACGTGGCGGCATTCCGATCACTCAAGATGACAACAACAACAACCACAACACGAAAACTGCGCCAACATAAACGTTACACATTCTGCTCCTCCTGCATATGTTCACTAGAAGATGACACGGTTTTTACAAACACCCCATTTGCCGTCATCCATTATGAGTTTAGAGTTCTTAACGCGTTGACCTTGTTGAGTTCACCGGTGCTGACACTTTCGATATTTTACAATATCCACTATGAGCATTCTACGGAACCTACTACGTTTTAGGCATTCTAACCTAATAAAACCAGTGTTCCATCGGTACTTTGCTCTGATGCTTCGCTGTCATAAAATCACAATTAGAGTAGCGTTCCGTGACGATAACAAACCTACCAAAACAAGCCAACGAATAAATTGACACAGGAGAAAATGAGGCTCACGGAAGTGGAATTTGGCGGCAGAGCTAAGGATGATGCGATATATTTCGGCGCATCCGTTTTCCCATTGTCCACAGCAAGAGGTGTGCTGGAGAAGACGGTTGGTGAGTCAGCAGTTCCGGACTGGATCCATGAACGTATTAAGTTGGCCTGGGAAAAATGGCCTTGGCGCTGATAAACAATGGCCAAATTGCGCAGAGCGTTCAAAACCACGGATCTGTGAAAAGAGTTCATGAGAGTAAAGATGGTGAGGATGGGTATTGATTATGAAGGGCACAAAGAAATGGTGATGCGGACAGATGCGTAACGCGCAACTACTTGTTGGCATCATAGTCGTTTCAGGCATCCAGCCCGTAAACGCACCCAAGTATGCTCCTTCCGTCAAACGCAGTCGCCAGAGTTCCCGTCGTCGGGGAACGAAAAGACCAGACGATAGAGGCGTCCACCATCCTTGGGCAACCGCAATCCAACTCTCGCCGACTCGTTGTTCTAGATAAGACCACGTTTTCACGTCGATACTGTTGCTGATATCAGCATAATACAACCAAACAGCACTTTTGTTAACCGCACTTCATCCTCGTTGTACTTAAAGAAAGCTAGTGGGATCACTCTTATAACTTATGATTAACGAAAGTTACTACTCAACCTTGGTCTACGGCGACAATTCAGTTAGATATTAACAGTCCCAGACGTACATCAACCCATATTAGGAGCGGATTTCCTGACACATTTCAACTTGTTAGTGGATCTACGAAGCCAGCGTTTGCCAGCGTTTGTCAACACGAAACTTTCCATTCCTGGTAACACAATGTGCACACCATTCATCTACCCCATAATCCATTTGACACAGGACACTTCTCCATACTACAAGCCCCTTCATAGGTTTCCAAATATATGAAAACGAAATTTTCATCAGCCGAATACAACACATACTGTAGATTATCACATGACCTCCAGTGGTACTCCTGTTTTCTCTTGTCCGTAACGTCTACCTCCGGAACGACTCAAAATACCTAAGGATGAATTTCAGCACATGCTCCAGTTAGGAATAATTTGACCATCTCAAAGCATGTGGGCGTCACTGTAGCAAATCGTCGCCCAGAACACAGCATCCGATTGGACACCCTGTGCCGACTACAGAGCACTTAACCGCATCACCATTCCTGATAAGTACCCCATTCTACACCGTCATGATATCTCTTCTCATCTCCTTGGATGTAATATCATTTAACACCATGCGTGCTACTCACCACATTCCTATTCATTCTGATGATACCCATAAGACAGATACCACAACACTATTTGCGTTGCACGAATTCTTACGCATGCCATTTGGTTTACGTAACGATGCACAAACCTTTCAACGTTCTATTGATCAGGCACCTTCAGGCTTACCGTTTGTCTTTACCTACCTTGATGATATTTTAATTGCAAATGCTGACGAAAGAGAACATTTGGAATACCTAGAAAGCTTATTTGCACGTCTCAGCAAGTACGGAGTGATTATTAACAATAACAGGTGTGCCTTTGGTCAATCTTCAATGAAATTTCATGGTCACACCATTGATAGCACGGGCATGTCGCCAAAGACAGAGAAACTTAACGTCGTAAGAAAGTTTCTTACACCTATTTCCGTGAAGCATTTGAAACGTTTCTTAGGTAGACTTAATTTTTACCACCGTTTCATTCCAAAGTTCGCAAGCATGTTATCTCCAATCACAAACTTGTTAGTTGGTGATCCTAAGCAATTCCATTTTATGACGCTACTGCAGGAGCTTCCGAAAAAGTCAAATCTTCTCTAGCCAATAGCATGATGCTTTTCTACCTGGAACCCGATTCTCCGCTGTCGTTAAACGTTGATGAATCTAATACAGCTATCGGAGCTGTCTTGCACCAAACCGTCGATAAAGTCCAACAACCACTTGAGTTTTGCTCCTAGAAGCTCACACTAGCCGAAACGCGATACAGTAAGTTTAGTCACGAGTTACTCGCCATATGCTCAAGCATTCGCCACTTTTGACATCTGGAAGGAAGACAGTTATTTTAACTGACCACAAGCCTTTGACATTCGCTCTGACAGGCTAAGCCAAATAAGTACTTACCCTGTGAAGTAGGTCAGCTGGATTTCATTTCACAGTACACCAGTGATATTCGCCATATTCCTAGACGAGATAACATTGTCGCTGATGCATTGTCAAGCCCACAAGTCGATGTGGGCGAACACGACTTTCATCCATCTAGTACGCATGGCTCAACTGCAAAAAGAACAACCATCTCAGCCGCAGCTGAATTACAAACAACTTCCACTGGACATCCAGTCAGTGCTGCTACACACTACATCAGGTACGGTAGATTGTGATATTTCCACGGCAATCCCAAGACCACTGGTTCTGTTGTTTATGCGAAGAAACAATTTCGATGCGCTTCACAGCTTGTCACATCCTGGAATAGATGCAACTGTGAAATTAATCCCCGAACGCTTTGTATGGCTGAACATGAACAAAGACATTCGCACATGGGCAAAGACATGCTTAGTATGTCAACATTCGAAAGTCATCCGGCAAAACAATCGCACATCGGAACTTTCGCACAACCAGACGGGTGATTCAACCATATACAAATCGATATAGTCGGACCTTTACCCTATTCCGGTGGTAATTCGTACATCCAGACATGCATCGTTTCACTCGATGGCCCGAAGGCACTCTCGTTGCAGACACACTTGCAGAAACCATCGCCCGTGCACTTATCACCAGAGGGATAGTGATTTTCGGTGTTCCTGCTTAAATCACCACTGACCGCGGTTCAAAATTGGAATCCCAGCTTTTGCAACAGTTGACGAAACTATTGGGCTGCAAAAGGATTCACATCACAGCTTACCATCCCCAGGCGAACGGTATGGTCGAAAATTTTCATCGACACTTAAAAAGCGCGATCAAAGCACCTTAGGTGATGGTTTAATCACAGTGGGAATAGTCCAGATGTTCCTTCGTGCGTCATGACATTGACGAATAATTCATAGTGGGGACGATGGGAGTCAAGTTACACTTTCTAACCTGATCCGCGCACCGAAACCCGTCAGACTGGACGATTGTTCCTAAATCTCGCTGAACTCGTGACTTCTCTATCGATTCCAAGATTTCGGACGTCTGGTGCTTTTCCAGCTGTGTGGAAGATTATCTGATTTGGAAGCTACTGCGACGAACTATCAATTTATTAAATTAGTGGTCGGAATGGCAGGGATTGGCATACCGGCTAGAGTCACATAAAGATGTGGGGTGGCTGACTTATTCAAGCTGAGGCTCACCGAACGGAAATTAAAAAAATATCATAAGAAAGAAACAAGCAACACAGTTTGCCAATGAAAGCTGGGTTGAAGGTTGCTGCTGTAAATATTGTATGGAAAATTAGGTCGATTTAATGGGGGCAGGAATTACAACCGACGCCACGCTGCCAGCGTCCAACATTAGGGAATTGCCGCGGGGCCAAGGTAATATGAGGGTCTGTACTCATGAGTACACCAGAAAGCAGTCTTGCCAAAAAGGCAACTTTAATCGCAAACACAATACAAGCAGAAACACACAAACGACTATATACATAAGAAAGTAACCAAGACCAATCAAAACGTTACAGTCAAGACCAAGGCAATCGAATAGATTGCCATAAAAAATGATGTTTATTTGTTCTTGCCGTTCAAGAGGAACTATATGGTAAATGATATCGGACGCATGTCCCGGTCTGCTTTAACGCGTACCTACATGACCACCCAGTTGCGACTCATGCATACTATGCGAGGACTTGTTCTTCGTAACCGTCGGAGCATCTTGTCGAGTAGTTCGACTTTCACGTTGTGTATCGATTCACCTGTAGTTGCGGCGACATTTACATAGACAGAACTAACCGCCAGTTAGCTCAGATGGTAGCTGGTCATTAGCCAAGGTGGTTGGGACAAGTAATGACGCAACAAAATGGGACGCGTCTGAGGATTAATCGGAGCTCAGCATAGTCTGTCACCAAGCAAACCATGGCAACTCGTCATCATGTGAACTCTGAGACCGCGTTCAAAGTGTTACTGCGCAACAAACCCAATAATGTCGGCAAGTAGTGAGGTGTTGCAAATCAAAGGCTATCAACCTGTGCTATGTGCACAGAAACTCTAGAGGCAATCAATTCGGTTGCCATGGTCTTGACTGTGAGATTTTGTTTGGTATTGCTTATTTTTCCATGTCTATATTCGTTTGTGTGTTTTTGTTCGTATCGTGTTTGCGACGGAAAAGAATAGTGGAAAATGCGCAATCATAAGCTAATTTGTTAGTGATCAGGACTTACAAATCAATTTGCGCATCGGATGCCCATGCGGTCAAATCGAACTTGGACAATCGTAGTAACTGACTTCGACCCTCGCGACAAGCCTGCTCGATGAACAACCACAAGGGAACACTGTAGCCGTCGGACTGGAAGGGGCGGCTATCTGAATGCTCATGAGCGAAATCGCCAATAGTGTAACTGCTCATTGCAGAGGAGGACGAAAAGACGGCGGAATCCGCTTCAGAAATGCACGGTCCAGTAGAGTTCATAGAAAAATGGCACTGATGATTCGGAGGGAGGGTACGCAGTCGTCGGTCAGGGGAGAGAACATCTTTGAGCAGAGCCTCAGCGTCACTCAGATTGCCACGCTTCAGTAGAGTAGACGCCTGAGAGAGGAATGGGGAAGGAGCGTAAAAGTTAGAATAGGAACAAGGTGTGTATGCCTCTGTATACCCATTAAGTTCTGCGTGAAAAAAACGCATCATGAGATTGTATAAGATCTAACAAAGAACGGAAAGGTAACCAAACTGAAGGTACCTACCAGATTGTTCTTGGTCCGGAGCACAATGAGGGAGGTGGGTTTGTAGCACTTCGAATAGATGTCCAAAGCTCTTCGGAAACACACTTCAACCTGAAAAGAGATCGGGCTAGAATGTCAAGAAATGAAAATATTACGGATATGTTGCATAATGAGAAATAAAAAAGCAGAGTTGTGATCGAGTGTACCATTTATTGACTTGTTAGGTAGAGGCAAACAAACACCATCAAGATTGGGGCGGTTAGGGACAATTTCTCTGAACCGGCAAGATCAACAAAGAAATGAGTGTTGTGTTGCGAAAATTAGGCGGTCGGTTTATCAGATCCAAGAGTAACTGTGCAGCTTTGCGATCACAGAGTCAGATCAGTGGAGCCTACATTTCGATCCATAATGCGCTTGGGACTGGGCAGAGTGATGTGAGACAGTTGATGGAGGAACATCAGAGGGCATCAGCAGTACGCTGGTACACAGTACCGACGCTTCGCTACCGCGCAATCAACCCCAGTTGCATGTGGACTAAGAACACTGCGAGGAACGCCCTGTCCATACGCATGCTCAAACCGGCGCCATAAGATTACAGGGCAAGCTTGTTAGCTTTAGGCTACGGGCCGGTTATCAGTGATAAAGGAAAGAAGCAATCTAGACAATATTTTAAACCATAAAAAAGAGGGTACCGAAGATGGGAAAGATGAACCGGTGTAAAGGGTGCCTAAATGTAGAAAAAGGGTAAATCGGCTGTTACCGACCACCTCGAACACGCAAACTTAGTGTCACCATATATATATATATATATATATATATATATATATATATATATATATATCCACGTGCGAAATAGACGATTCGATTTGACGTACGCAGCGTTTTGAATTGACAAGGTGGCAACGAGATTTAACTGCGCTTCAGTGCACACGGTATAGTTGTTCAACTAACATGAACGTATTTGTGCAAGCCAATATCATCAAGCACTTAGATTAGTACGCAATTGAGACTAACGGATGAATGATCATTAGCACAGCGTTTCATCTCAGTAATCAACACAAAGGGGATCTTTGACTGGATGGATAACTGCGCAGTACGGAAGCAGAAGCACAACAGTTTACACTAATGGTGTGTAAGACAAAATTCTCACCTCATCGAAGCGTCCCAGATTTTGACATAACAAGGCCAAATTATTCAACTGCTTCGCCACATCTGGATGATCGGGTCCCAAAAGCTGTGAACCGAAATACGAAGACGCAACATGGACGGGATGAGAGCAGTAGCCAAGAAAACAGGTAACAACACTTAGGTCGTTCAAACTGCTGGAGCCTCAACGTCTCATACTTCTTGGGTAAAATGGTAGCATAAAAATAGCAGCATTATGCAGGCGGCACACTGAAACGACGCTTCGCTGCCAAGCAACGACAGTCAAGCGTAGGCTGAGTATACCGCGAAGCCATTCGCACCAACGCGGACTCGAAATGGTGGTCTCCACGGATTACAAATCAAACGCGTAATCCCTTTGGCCGCCAACCGACCTACGGGTGATAATTAACCATTGAAAGTTTAAGCGGTCCAGAGATGAACACGTGAGACAAATCCATTCATAAAGACGTGATTATGAAATCTTACTTTTTCGCGGATAACAAGTGCGCGGCGGCAAAGCGGTTCAGCCTTATGGAAGCGAGAACCTTTAGCATACATGACAGCTAGATTGTTCAGCGCAGCGGCAATCTAAAAGGAACAACAAGAGGAGTTTGGAAGCTGACACAGACTATGGATCGCAATGAGAATAGAACGGTTGCAGCATTAAGCGAAAGCAAAGTGCACTGACACTTTTGATGATGAAGGTTGCTTAATAGCGAAGGAATGCATCCAACTGATTTGCCATCGAACACTAGATAAAAGCAGAAAAATACTAGGGGTTAGATACTGGGGGGCTGGAACTCGAGGCCATGTAGCTAACTCGTCCGTGAGGGGGATCAACGTTCAAAAACATAACTGCTCGGTGAGTACATAGTCAATAGCACGTTGATGAAGATACGAGAGGTCGCAAGTGACTTGTGTCGAGGAATAAAGTCCCTCACTTCGAAGTTGGCATCGTTTAGCGTTTCCCGACTGTCAGGCTGGGGACTGAAGGATGATGCACACGTCTGGCTGGATACACTAGGTGACATGACGAAGACCAGACCTCAGGGACGTTCGTGTTGAGTCTCTTTGGCCCTCCCCTCCCCTTTAGCTTCTCCCTCCAAATCCTAAGCATAAAGTGACATTTAGCATTATGCTACTTTTTATAGCTCTTTTAGTCTGCATTGATTAATCTCATATTTTTGTATTGCGACACATTAGCTGAGGTGTGTCTCTTACCCTCGGCTAACGTATACTGATGATGGTGAGCATGTGTCGCGTGAACCCAAATGAGAGAAAATAGGCGAGTGAGAGCTATGAGTATAAGTAAAGTGGTCCATCTGTATGTGGCATCTATGCGTACCTAGATGAGCATGATAGTAAATCAAAATTCGAACAAAACACAGGGGAACCTTATATGACACCTCCACCAAAGAAGTACGCGCATAAACGGTCAATTGACTCATGCTGAGGTAGTGCCCGATAGCCCCTTATACACGCGACAGCGCCAGTTCGATGCGCGCGTACTAGAGATTTGCAGGTAGTTGGGTCGCGGAATGATTCAAACATGTAAGCGTCCTTTGAACTAACTATGAAAACGAAGGATGGGCGTCCCATGTGCAAACAGAAAAGAGTAGCAGGACGGTGGACACAGCAAACGAAGGTGAAACAACCAGTGCGCAGTGACTCATAGCGTAAATAGAGTGGACATGAAATTAGCAAGCGTCTAGCATGAGACACACACAGACAAATGCTCCGGTTTTGTCCAATCGTGGCATGGAAATGCATCACCTGGTAGAAAAACGACAGCGAAATAAAAACGAGTCTTTAATTCGACCGAAAGGGAGCATTATACAAACGCGAAAGCTACGAAGGAGATCTAAAACGAACTGAGAAACCATAGATGGCACACAACTCAGGCGGTTGTGGATTGTCGTCGAAGAACGGTATCAAAAGCCTTTGAAAGAAACAAACAACGACAGCAGCATATTGACAATTCGTGCAGATGAAGCGCTATAACAAGGGAAGAGTGTGGGGCCTAGTGTAAAAGCTAAATACCATGAGCATCACACCTCGACAACACCACAGTTAAATACAGCTGACCATCGCCCGAAGCTGAGATAGCAGTCTGCATCGGGGTCCAATGCACCGCGGTATAATCAGCTAGCTTGACACTACACCATTTCCCAGCCAAGTTGTCCTCTTGGGCAACCGAAATAATCTGAGGGGGGCATTCAACATGAGTCTACACAATTAATTTGTTCCGTGCGTAGGAGCTGAAGCGTCCCACCTACATCCCTATGACTTAGTGCGTCTGAGGTCCAATTGGCTGAAGGCGACGGGCTATAAACGCACACCTACACATCTGCACAAGTGACTGGCGTACGCACGGAACAAATTGATTGAGTAGGCTCATGTTGAATGCCCCCTCAGATTATTTCTATTGCTCAAAAGGACATCTTGGCCGGGAAATGGTATAGAGGTATCTAAAAATTAGGTGTAATCACGTGTCCTAAAACTTTGTTGCATATACATATGATAGTTGAAAATCTGGAAGCGTCTCACGTACTTAAACCGAATAGGCCGGATCTCACTTCCGTAGAAAGGAAGGCCTTTCGCGTGGATTTGTTGCAAATTCGTGAAACCGGCTAGAGCTTTTGTATTACGTGAAGTGACGTCGGTCGTTACAGGCCCGCCGATTCTTCACCGTTGAGTGAGAAAGAGCTAACGAGCGGCTGGTGCTCTAGCAAACGCACCATGAAAATCGTAGGTATGAAGTGTGTTACAGATAATGAGGTCAATAAAGAGTTCGTAGAAAGTTAATTGTTTCGAACCGCGACTGGTAAACGACAAGACAACGAGACCCGCAGGACCCAGATCAAGCGTTCACCGGATGGGACCCGCATGGATGTAACAAAAGATCACACAAAGGAGCATTCAACCATTGGGTGTACAATAAGACCGAATCAAAATGGAAAAGTGAACGAATCTGATGGGTGTAACGAAAAGAAAAGAAAGGCATCAGCGGTGCGCCAGTTTGTAGTCCCGTCGCTTCGCTGCCGCGCAACCACCATCGGTCGCACGTGGGATAAGGATACTGCAAGGGTCGCCCTGCCTTTACGCAGGCTAAAACCCGCGCCGTCGGACTACAAGACAAGCTCGTTACCTTTAGACTATGGTCCGTTTCGGTATAATTGTATAGATATTTCGTCGCAAGTGCCAACTATTATCAATGCGCCTGATAATTCACCGAAAGGGGCTAATCAGGCCCGAGACACTTGAGTAAATGTAAGCAGAAGGCAGTTGCTAATTGAGTGGAAGGTGCTCTCAAAATCGAGAAATACAGTTAGAAACGGACCGCAGTACATATGACGTTGCGCAAGAGCCTGCTGCAGAATAAAGTAGAAGGTATGCATTCTTCTACCCAGGCAGATAATCCAAATGCTCTTTTCTTACGCAAGATTCCTGTTTCGCAAAGAAAAGGCTAATCAGTGTTACCAAACACTGGTAGCTCACCGAAAACTTGGGGGCGCTATGATGATGACCCATTTGTGGTCGTGAAATGGGATAAGAAGGAAAAGCTGCCAAATGACTTAAATTCCCTTCCCGGAGTATGCATTTTCCATGAAGCTGGAGTCTTACGGTAGCACAACGCTATTTCTTGGCTGCTTAGTTCGTATAAATTTTGGTTATTTGTAAAGCAGAAGACACTGTAAACCGATTGACACTGATGGGGTGTACTGGACAAGATTTAGGGTCATCCGAAAAACGTTTACGCTGGGGATAACACACGTGCTGTTCTACAGAGCACAAACTCTGTGCACGATGGAGGAAAATGGGAGACTTGCGAGGAAAGAAGCGATGGATAAGCTAGTAGATAATGGCTACCCACGTAGGTTAGTCAAAAACAAGTATCAAACCCACAGTCCGGACCCAGGACCGGGTGGAAAGTGACGGCGGGAATTTTATGTAAAGAAGGAATTTAGGAAACAATGTGGAGAGTACTGAACAAGGAGAATGATCATCCAGCATGGCAAAACACTGCGTTCAGCTTTGGAGCATTTGAAAGACTCCTTTCCGATGAGCAGGACAACAAATTTCGTCTATGAAATTAGAAATGAAGACTGTGCACATGCGTATACATAGGGCAAACTGAGGGAGAGCTACCCACACGGATTTCAAAACACCAAAAGTACATTTTACGAGCATAAAGGAATGAGTTTGAACATAGGGCATTAGTGCGGGACTCGGTCGTAACAATGTATGCGCTAGATACTGGGCACCAAAACGAGATCATTAGGAGGGGTTTGCGATCAGCTCCCCAGAGGTTGATTGCCGAGACGTTGGTGACTGCCGAATTACACAGCTGAAGGAGTACAATGGGAAGGGCAGAACTCGCAAGTGCGTGGTGAGCAATAGTAATCTGGCCGTTGCGAGGAGCGTCGCTTTGAGGATCAGGTTGGAAACGGTAACTTGACTTCTCATTGTCACGACTATGGGCCTATCTGTTAATGCCATGACGCACAAGGAAACCCCTAAGGAATTTTTAATGTGGTTGCAAAAACAGGCGACATCTGGATCAGTGATTGCAATAATCACCAGTTCGTGTATCTGGTATAGCGGCTAACGTCACTGTTCGCTAGAAAATGTCGCTTCAAATGAATACTGACACGCCCGGCCAGACGAACGCTTGGTACCAAAAGAAAAACGTTACGCAACAAGTGTATTAATCGATTATTTCTAAACCTTTCTGAACTCATGGATCGGGGTTATTCACATTGGATGAAACTCAAATGGACCAACAACTGGATTGTCTAACCGATAAAGCCATAGCATGTTCAACCACATCACTTAGTCTGCTGTTCAGACAGTGAAGCAATCGCTGCTGAGTGACTAATTTGGAAAGCGTATTCAGCCGACAAAACAGCTCAAAATTTCATAAACAAACGGTTTAACTAAAGAAAAATTAATGAGCAGACAGATATTTATAGTTGCCATTCCGAGGCCGCATTGTATTGCTAACGACGCCACTCTTCGCGAAGGGAGCGCAATTAGATAAAGTACTACCATACACAGCACATGAAACGAAACAGACAGCAGTGAAGTCGTGCAAAAGAAGAATCGACGGTGACGTGTCCAAAATAAATCACCAAAGCAGGAAGGAGAGTATTCGGTTGGATTCATGCAACAAAGTCGTTCAATCCAACTGGTCGCAACAACAAGAAGCAACAAACAACAAAACAACACCACCACACCACCACCACCAACAACAACAACAACAACAACAACAACAGTACATCAGCCAATAAAACTGATGCTTAGCTAGCATACAACCACGAGGACCTGTGGAATAAGGAATAAAAAGAGAGAGAGAGAGAAGCCGGACCTACCTGAAAACCTTAATGCCCTAAGCAAACATTCAGGGTCAAGGCGCCTACACCTTGTGTAGACAACACACCGTCACAAACAGCTGGCTATCGTGCGAAGAAAAGACGGATTCCGCGAGACAGTTTCCTTGCGGCTTTCACTGCCCCACGTCATAATCAGACATTACCTCGCAGATATATCAGCACAAAACACACTGCAAACAAGCAATCCAATTACGA